GATCCTTCCAGTCACAACACTATCCCTCACCGCAGGGCCCTTCCCCCGAGTCTGACGATCAGGATGTGGTTTTGAAGGGAATTGTGCATGATATATGCGAATAAGGTCTGGGGCATGCACCTTGGATACATCCTGCCAAGAGCGAATCTCCATTTCATTTTCCAGTCTTCCCACGAAGTACTGGAATCGTCCCTTCAGCCATCGTGAATCATAAACTCCCAGCAGGATCGATCCTTCCAGTCACAACACTTAGTTCAGTCCGTCCGGGGATTAATCAGTTGCAAAGTCCAGTGTCGAAAAAGAGGTCAGTAAACTTACAAATTATCAGTCCAGTAATATATCTCTTTTGCAGTTAGAGATATGAAGAAAATCAAACCTCTTTTCTTCTCTCAGCAATAGCAGGGAAAACAAGCAGTTATCACCATCAATCCATCATTGTCAGCAATCCAGTAAAAGCCAGCAAACAGTGAGCTCTCTTGCTCCCTCTTATGGTGATTTTACAACCACACCCCAAATACATGTTTTACATTTAAAGTGATATACACAATCATAGTCTATATATACTATTTTACCCAAACTAAGTTAGGTAACCATGTTATTCCTAACAGAAGGCACAATATATTCCCAAAATTTTGATAAAGGCTTGGCTTTGGAAGACTCAAAGGGAAGAATAAGGAAAACTTTACCATTAAAAAGACCCCTGAAAGTTTCAATATAGACTGTGAGAGGGACCTTGGAGTCTTAGTGGACAACCAGCTAAATATGAGCTAACAGTATGCGGTGGCAGCCAAAAAAGCCAATGCAATCCTCAATTGCATTAACAGAGGGATTCAATCAAGATCAAGTGAGGTACCAATACAATTCTATAAAGCCTTAGTAAGACCACACCTAGAATATTGCATCCAGTTTTGGTCACCACACTATAAAAAAAGATGTTGAGATTCTAGAAAGAATGGAGAGAAGAGCAACCAAGATGATTAGGGCACTGGAAACATACAATGAATGGTTGCAGGAACTGGGCATGGCTAGTCTAGTGAAGAGAAGGACCAGGGGAGACATGATAGCAGTGTTCCAATATTTTTTTTTGCATACATTTTTTTATTATTATTGTTTGAACATCTCTTTAAGTGAACAATGTGATTCCAGGCTGTAGCATACATACATAATCATAATTACATTTTCAACTTTCTTATTCAGTTTCATATCATATCATTACCTACTCCATTTTTCTTTTAATATGTTTTCACTTCATGTTGTTTCATTCATCATTTCCAGAAAAAAGAACCAATTACATCCTAAGATACATTATCCAATATTTATCCCCTTTATTGTCAATTCAATCTTGCCACCTATTTTTATTTTATGTATTCTCCCCATTTTACTCTCTTAAACCCAATATATAACAAATAAAATAAAAAACTAATATCAATATAGCCATTTTTAGTTAGTACCTCCTGTATTTAATAATAATGATCTCCTATTTACTATTATATATGCATATGTTTCTTCCCCCCCAAAAAAAATCAGGTTTCACATGGTATTCTTTCCATATTACACAATAAATCTAATATTTATTCCAAAAACATTCATATAACCATTTCATATTTCACATTTTGTTTCCAATTAACCAATTACAGATATGAGTAACAATATTACACTTTGATTTCCATACACTATTTTCTTTTTCTTTATGACCTTACTAATTATGCTACAACAATCTCATTTTAAATTGTTATTTAACAATATGATCATTTTAATTTCCATACTCTTTGTTCTTCCAATAATATTTAT